TATCTTCCGTTTCTCGTCATCGCAGCTTCCATCAAACCGCAATTGCCCGGAAACTAGGACCGCACATCTTATCCGATAAAATCGTTCGCCCTATAGACCGATTCTGGGGGGTTAGTTGACTAGTCGATGAGTCAACTGTTGATCTAATTTCATTACGTGAACGTGGAAGAAAAACGGGGTAAAAAATCACTAATGTGTGATCAATTTTCAAGGACAATTCTGTAAATTCTCTTACGATTTTAAATAGATTAAAACGCGTAATATCCAAAATCTAAGCTCAGATTCGGATTTCTCGTGAAAAATGGATGAGATTTCATGTATCATATGTTAGAATAGCGTGAAGGAAAGAGGTTTAATGACGTAAAAAAACACTAATGTGTGATCAATTTTCAAGGACAATTCTGTAAATTCTCTTACGATTTTAAATAGATTAAAACGCGTAATATCCAAAATCTAAGCTCAGATTCGGATTTCTCGTGAAAAATTGATGAGATTTCATGTATCATATGTTAAAATAGCGTGAAGGAAAAAGGTTTAACGACGCGTATAGATTCTGTCATACTACCCCTCTGAACTACGCCGCCGCGCCGGTCGCCCGAGATGCAACCGAATGGTGAGGCGCCGGCCGGCGCTAAGCAAGCGTTCGGTTTCGTCCCGAGGAATTTCTCACGACAAATTCTTATTCTTCCTCCTCCGCTGGCTGACCCACTGAGCACTACCCATGTTGCCACGTTGGATTCATATGCTCGAATCAGTATGTCTACGTTACGTCTACATCTCTTTCCTTCACGCTAAGCTCGGGTATGATACATGAAATCGCATCGATTTTTTACGAGAAATCCGAATCTGAACTTCGATTTTGGGTATCACGCGTTTTAAGTCAAATTTTCCAAATTCGAAAATCTGAAATGACTGACGTGGCTTAAATTGCCACCTCGGCTCCTGTTCGATGGATTTTCCTGAAATTCGGTGTCAGGGTATGATACATGAAATCGCATCGATTTTTTACGAGGAATCCGAATCTGAACTTCGATTTTGGGGATCACGCGTTTTAAATCAAAATCTGTCAAAATTCAAAAAATTCAAAATTCGAAAATCCGAAATGGCTTAAAATGCTATCTCGGCCCCTGTTCGATGGATTTTTCTGAAATTCGGTGTCAGGAGGTATTTTTCGACAGGAAACTCGAATTTTTAGTCCATTTGTTAAAATTCTCAAATTCAAAATGGCGGACGTGGGCTAAAATGCTATGTCGGCTCCTGTTTTTTCGAGTCTTGTGAAACGCGGTATCACACGGTATTTTTCAACGGAACACTCGAATTTTTAGTCAACTTTTTAAAATTCTCAACTCCAAAATGTTGGATGTGGCCTAGAATGAGCCCCGGTTCTGGCCTCCGCTTCTGTTCGTTAGAGCTTTGAGAACCGCGGGATCAGGAGTACTTTTCGACGGGAAACTCGAATTTTTAGTCGATTTTTGAAAATTCTCAAATCCAAGATGGCGGACGTGGCCTAAAATGCTATGTCGGCTCTTGTTCGATGGATTTTTTTGAAACTCGGTGTCTGAGGGTATTTTTCGATCGGGAACTCGAATTTTTACTATGTTTAAAAATTCTGAAATCCAAGATGGCGGACGTGGCCTAAAATGCTATGTCGGCTCCTGTTCGATGAATTTATGGCGCCCCCTTACTACATGCCTACTCTTGTATTCCTGTACAGCCGCAAATTTAGGGTCAAGGGACGCCTGACCGTCTATGGACCAGGTGGAGTTTTTGTCCTGAAAATTTACCTTTAGACGGCAATTCTCTTTATATTTTGTCAATGGTTTTTATGCCCCCCCCTTTCTCGCGGACTCTCTTTCTTGCCTCCTTTTTCCTTCCATTTCCCCCCTTCTTCCTTGCTTTCACTGCCCAACCTTGTTTCCTTTTCCTTTTTTCCCTTGTCCTTTCTTCCCATTTTTTCCTTTTCCTTTTTTCCCTTGTCCTTTCTTCCCTTTTTTTCCTTTTCCTTTTCCCCCTTTTTTCCCTCTCTTCTTCTTTCGTGCCGTGGCGCCCCCCAAAGGCTGGCGCCCGTGTGCGCCGCACGCCCTGCACACGCCCTAAGTCCGGGCCTGCGCTCTAGAAAGAGCGAACGTCTAAAACTCGAACCGACCATCGCTTCTAAAGGAGTTACACATAGCGAATGAACGAGGGAGATGATAAAACGCCTGTATATCAACAAAAAAGTGAAAAAAGTGTTGATTTTTTAGAAAGTTCAAATGTCCATACAGATGCTCAATTTTCGGTGAAAACATTATTTTAGATTTACTTATATTTACCGGTGCGTGTGAAGACGCAACGCACAGCTTTAAACTCAAACATTAGATGAAAATTAGAGTTTCATTCAGTACTTAAACTTAAAGAAAATTCATTGACGGTACCACGTCGCGCCTGCTTCTTTGTCGCAGTAAGCTTTTTTTGACTTAGAGCGACTATTTTAACTCCCCGGTGATCAAATTGCATAATCGAAAAAATGAAGGAGCTTTCTGTGAGCTCCGCGATATTGAAAACTAGCAGTCTCATTGAATAAGCTGCAAAGGTGCTCTCAGGCTCGAACTGACCATATGAGGCCAATCTGCCATTTGCAGATACGCCCCCTTGGCGCGCCGAAAACACGATCCTCTGGCAGATAGCAAAATAAGAATAGAAACAAATTTCGACCGAGAATATATGCGGAACATTTTTTAAATGAACGGAAGGAGAGAGAGTTAGGAGTAAAGCAAGGTGCTTTTGCGCATGATAGTGGTGAACAGAGGTCCAAGAACTACTTTCTGAAGCGTAAACACTTTTCTGTGAAATTTTCACCTTTTGTTGACATACAGGCGTTTTCTCATCCCCCTCCTTCATTCGCTATGAGTCCTTAGAAGCGACGGTCGGTTCGATTTTTAGACATACCTACGCACCCTTTATAAACCTCTTGAGAGACATTTAAACATATTTTCTCCTTTTCAAGGACTATCGATTTGGACATACTATGGCATATCTCAGGCACTCTGAACCTTAATTTATCTCATTAAAAAATAAGAGGCATCTACAGTTTAAACGCGATACAACTATTCTCGCAAGATGGATGCCCACATTGCGCATGAAAAACGTACGACGGGATGGCGTGAGTCGTGAACTCGCAATGCTCTGCTCCTATGCTTCCAGTTTACACAATATGGTAATGGAGGGAGAGAAAGGATGCGCGTTTACAACGGCGCAGAGATACAACTATTCGCACTTGATGAAAGTCCGTGCTGCATCTGAAAAATTGAAGGCGCGATAACGTGAGGCATGAACTCGCAGTGTTCCGCCGTACGCTATATCGTGTTACGGTGCCTCACGAAGGAGCAACGCCGCGCCGTATAAACATGGGAATGTTGCCAAGTTTTCCTAACATTTGTAATTTTGGGAAAAGTTACGAATGTTTTTCCCTGAAACTTAGATTTAAGTGTTAACAAAATTCCCTGTATGTTTCAATAAACAATATACATAAACTTTACTTCGAGGATTTAGAGTTTATGTGATTTCGGAGATACAAGGTAGCACGCTTTCGTAAGCTCTGCTTCATTCTTTGAACTCAAGTAAAGAAGTAGTCAAATTGCTCGCGGACCAATTACAATTAAACAGAACTGTCTCGACCTTAGATCACCTAGTTCCCTTGTCTCCTCATTTTATTCATGGTGCTTGAAGCACCATTACGAATAAGGCAAACGCAAACAAACACAATATGGAAATAGAGGGAGAGAAAGGATGCGAGTTTACGACGGCGCAGAGATACAACTATTCGTACTTGATGGATGTCTGTGCTGCATCTGAAAAATTGAAGGCGCGATGACCCGAAGCGTGAGCTCACGATGCTCCTGCTATATGCTGTCGCTTCGATTCGGGAGAAGAGTTAAAAAAGAGGCCCGAACACATCTCTCCCTCCTTCGGTTGTATTACTCACGTAGTGTTTGAAGCACCATTACGAATAAGGCGAACGGAAACAAACACAGTATGGAAATAGAGGGAGAGAAAGGATGCGCGTTTACGACGGCGCAGAGATACAACTATTCGTACTTGACGGATGTCCGTGCTGCATCTGAAAAATTGAAGGCGCGATGACCCGAAGCGTGAGCTCACAATGCTGTCTGTAACTATTTCGAAACTTTATGGGTTTTTCTTTGGATATGTCCCCCTTTCGCAGCCTTCCCCCGCTAAGTTATTTTGTTATGGGTATTGGCTCTTAAAGTTGTTTCTTCATTCTAGAGTTTAATGTACCTCCGTCACATTTCTTCTCTCACCTTTTCTTGACTATATTTAATTTCGGTGAAAGGAACTTGGTAATAAGTGATTGCCAAGGTGGAGATAAGAAAGTTAATCAAGCAGAAGAATTAAGGAAATAAGTATACATTTCTCATTACAGCAAAGGAAATGAAATTGATCAGAAAAATTTATAGAGAAGATGGAATGTATGTGGTGTATTTTGTGGTGTATATTTTTTCATTGCGAAATTGAATTGGCTAAACTTATCCATTCTGTGCTTCTTTTATCATCATAATTTCTGGACGTGTGACTGGTGCACTCAAATTGCTTTTTTCGTGGGTTGAATTAAAAAATATGCGTACAAAAGCAAAGCGTATGAAGGAGATTCTTTTCGTTTCTAAAATCAGTTGCACAGTTTCTAAGCACCTTTGAGAACACATCCTCTTATCTTCATGATGATCTGATGCTTCTGAAAGGTGTTGGAAGCTTAATAGGCAACACTTCTTCCTCAAAACTTCAAATGTAATTTAATCAAAACAAACAATTCTCAAGGCGCCCTCCTACAAGCAAGCTCTTCAATTGAGTGGTCCATTATGCAGAAGATTTCTGTCGAATTACAAATGAAGTTGGTGAGTATCGTCTCAATAACCTCAAACGTTATGATTCCATCCGAAAACTGTTGAAAAATAAAATGATAATAATATTCCTCAGGATGGGATATTACATAGAACACTGGATTACAAAAAATAGAAATATATTTGTTAACAAAATAAATTACAAAGTAGAAGAAATTTGTGTGTGACACAAAAAAAAGGTACTAATAATTTAAAATAAAAACAAAAACTGTACAGATTCCACATTTACACTACTTACATACTGTACAAAACGATGCATAATTAATTATTACTACATACCTATTTTCGAAATGAGTGAAGGAATTTGATACAACAAGTACTACCTAACGGAGTTATTCAATTATAATTTTCATGTCAAAATACTGGGTCACCCTGAAGACATGATTCCAGAGTTTAAAACACAATTTCAAATCACTATTAGAGGGCAAAAAAAACAGAAGAAGAAAATAAACAAATAAAAAATTAAAATGTTACTAGTCAACGTTAGTTAGCAGGACTTGGTCAAAAAAAGAAAAAAAATTCATTTTCCTTAAAAAAGTTGATGGTAAAAAATAAAAATGATGAAGGAGAGAAGATTGGTTGAAAACTTGGCTTTGGCTGTTTGATGGTTATAAGTAAGGTTTCCTCATTAATTCCAATTAAAAAATTTTAAGGTGCAAGACACGCTCCCTAACAATATGAAGGGAGCAGGAGAAGAGATTAAGACATCCGTACGGACATTAAACAAACACAAAAATGTGAGGGAATTTAGATTATTTCAACTGAGATTTTACAGAATGAGAGTGGTTGAAGTATATAGCTGGTTTTCGAAAAACAAATGATTGAATTACGCTTTACAACTTCAGATTTCTGTTGCACTTGAAACAAAAAGAACTTCTTTAATCAATGATAACAGAGTTACAGTGAGTAGATGATATAGTCAATCCTCAAAACAATGCATATCAGATACAAAAAATTTTAGAGAAATTTGGGGACGTATTAAGAAACTGCAAAAGCCCTCCCTCCTGGATGTTGGGCAATTTGTAGTATCTTCTTCCATATCAAGGGATACATCTCTTCTGAGAGGGCATACCTCAGTCTTATTAGAGTTCATTTTCAAAGTTTCCCATTAAAGCTTGTGGAAAGCAAAGTTAAGGTTACTTAAAGTTACAATATCAATAGTTGACAAGAACTTTTCAGGTTGGGATTTATGATCAAGTTCTGGGTAAGACTAATCCACTCAGGTCAGTCACCGTTTGTGTTTTTCGAGTTCACTCCCCCGCAGCTCGTATAAAATAGGATGGGCTCCTTTCACTAGAAAAAATATGCATTTAACTTTCTTGCACCAAGGCACAGAACTCAAAACTCGTATATGGGAATGACTGACCAATGCAGATTGGCTTTGATTGTAGGACAGGTTGATCCTAAGATAAACCAATCAAAGACCGTAAAAAGTTTGGGGGAAAACTTCGGGTATTCAAGTTTTACAACATATAAAATCTAAGAACTTTGCCTTGAGGATAATAGCAGATTTGGCTTACATCAGCACTGAGAAACATGAGATCTGACAAGCGATTAAAAACCGCTGAAAGAAAATTATGAAATTTGGTATTATCAGGGATACCTGGCTTGTATTATTAGTTCTGCTGCACTCGTTTGCAACTCTATAGCGCGAACTGCACCTAAATTTGAGATTACTGCTGCAAGGTACACTCTACTACAGGTCTGGACGAATGGAATTTTAGAGCATCATCAAAACACGTAGATTTGACAGCACCCAATGGTACGACTGCGACACCATATTGAAAACTCGTTTATTTTTTATTCTGAGAGTGGGTCTCGTCAATATCGTTATATTTTTTCGTGTTCTCAGTTAAGTTTTTCGTTATTTGGAGTTTTATCATTTTTTTAAATTCATCTGATAGCTAATTGAAACTACCAGGATCTGCCAGAACCTAACTTTGAACTGCACGGCAAAGACGGTCTGACTTGCGACTTCACTCAATGGCCTAGATTCTCAGCGCTGCCACTTAGGCACCCTGTTTGTCCATACCTGTAGTAGAGTGTACCTTGTTACTGCTGTGATACAATATAGGGAAGATTGCAAGATGATAAAGAACACCGAAATATCTAGAAAAAATGGGTTAGTTTAGGTTAAGGGACATGCTGTAAAAGGCTAATTTTTCAACCAGTCTTCTTAGAAAAAAATTTACTAAACAAATGAAAGGTGAACCTTAAATTATTATAACTTGAATGTCATTGGATCTTCAAATTTTGGTTTGAACAGATCATAATAAAACGTCTAACTCATATACCCGACCATTTCTTCTTTCTTATCAGACCCAAATTTTAACAGGCAGAGGTTACTTTAAAAATTACAGATATGAGTCATTTTGTGAGCTGAGATATTCTCTGAGCAAAATATAGGAATAAAAACGGGTTATGTTAAATATAGGGCTGTGCCAGCAGTCGAATTTCAAGTCGAGTTGAGCCGAGTATCGAGTGCTCAACTTAGCTCGAAAGTTAGGTTAGGTTCAAGCGAATACTCAAACTCGACTCAACTGCCAATAACTCGAGTTTTTTCCGAGTGCTTTGAGCTTTTTGGAGCTGAAAACGCTGACAGAGTCCAACTCCTAGAGATTTTAATCATACTATTACTATTCTTAGTTTTGCCAGCATTTTTTGATGGTAAAATCACATGTTAAAACATAAAGTTATTCGAAATTGACTCTAGCTCGACTTAGCTCAAGGGTCATTTTCAAAGCTCGAAAAAACTCGAAACAGTGAAAAAAATACTCAAACTTGGCTCAAACTCAAAAAACCAAGCTTTCACAGCCCCAGTTGAATTTCTTTCCACGATTTTTAGATGAATTCATTTTTTTGTTCATTAAGAGTGAATCAAGGAGTAGATAATGATAAAAATTATCTAAAATTCTTTTTAAATTCTGAGAGGAACGAATAAAAATTTTAAATAAATGTCTCAAGTATTGTTAAACTTCTGTTCCCGCACAAAATAAGAATCCTTATATGTTCAATTTAACTATGAGGCTTCATTCACCTCTGGCAAGATAAATGGACACAGAACAGAATGAAGGATGATGGGAAAAAAAATTTAAAAAATCAAAATCAAAAGCAGAACGAATTTCCATCAAGTTCTGGAAAATTTAACCATAACAACGACCTTATGGTAAAATGCGCACTAAATTAAATCTGCCATCTTTTTTGAGAATTGATTATCAAAACGTTACAAGCTTCTTTGATTAAGTGCATTAGAATTTATGACAAATGCAATTTTAGTATCATTGATGGCTGATTTGCTTTCTTTTTCTTATTCAATTCAGCGAGAGTGAATTAAGAACAGCTCACAGTTTCACAAATGTTTAAGTTGGGGAAAAATGGACAATGAAGAATAAATGCTCATTCCTCATCTCAAAGTTGGGGAGGTCAAGATAATGACTGGTCTGGAAAAAATTATAAGACCCTTCAGTCCCTCTTGAGTTTGTTATTAGCAGATCAAAAATATTACTTGGGCTGTTCCTTGGGTCTTTAGAGAAACCAAATACACCCAATAAAAACTCACCGCCGACTATAGGTCAGTCAATGTTGAGCATCTACTCAACTAATCAGCAGTTGAGTAAAAAAAAGGGTGTCATAGTTAGCAAAAAAAAAAAAAAATTAAATAAAAAAAAAACCAGCTTAAGAGAAGAAAAAAATAACTTGAAATGATCTTGAGCAATAAAAAACAGTTTATCTTCAGAGCATTCTCATAAGGGGGGGGAAAAATGCAGCAAATGGAAATCTTACCAGATTCTGAAGGTGAAATGGAGTTTTTGCAATTATACGAACTAATGCCTAAAAAAATTACTCTACAGGAGATTCCATTGTGCCACCCATTCTAATGCGTTTGACGGAGGTTCTCACTATGACATCATGTCAGTGTTGATTGGGTGGAAGTTTAATGGGCATAATAAGAATGCACTGTTGGGGGAGGGGGGGGGGATATAACCGAACTATTCTTCGAAACTAGAAGGAAACATCGCCAACGGTACAAAATAATTACAGCACCATTCAATAAATTAAAATAAAATAAATAATATCACAAAAACCAGGGTTCATAATGGGAGGCTCTTTCCAGCAAAAGTACCTTCAAAACATCACAGATTACCTCAGACGTCAAAAGGGTACAATGGAGTGCTTACACTCACGGCAAAGTTGAGAATAATAATAATAAATAAAGAAACCTTGAAAACTTGTCTATGCAAAATATCTGGGAACAAGTTCACAAGTCTAGTTCCTACTTATTTGTGAATTCTTCGATTCAATACACGACAGAATGGAATGAGCATTTGGAGTGTGTGAAAATTTGAGGGAAACTCAGGAAAGCTTTTGTCTCATTTCAATGTTCATGGAAAAGAGTTTGTGAGGGGAAATAATGGTTCTTGGAAGGCTTCATTACAACTGAGGCCTTGATTGTCTGTTGGTACTCATCATGATGGAGACTTAATTTGTCTGTTGCTAAAGTCCGAGTATGAATACTGTTCACACATGGAGATTGATAATAGGTCAAAGAAAAATTGGAGCTGTTACACCATTTAGACGTCTGAGGTAATCTGGGAAAAACTGAAACCAAATCAATAAAATAAAAAAGAATCCGGTTGTACTGCGGGAGCACTAAAAGCAGACAGTTTGGTCCAGTCGGGCTTTACATCAGCAGTGCCAAATACCGTTAAGGCACTCTTGTGGTCTGCAAACCAGTTGGACTTAACACTCTTTTCGTACGCTCGGAAATCGCAGAAGTCCAAGTTCAGACCACCAAACGGACTTGCAGATGTTGGGTGAAGCTTCAAACAGACGCTTGCTGAATGGTCTCTTTTCAATGAGTAACAATCTTCGGAAGTACAAATATTGCTCGGAGTTGGCCAAACCGCTAGCTAGCTAGTGCGCTGTCTTTTCGAAGTTGGCTCCTCTATACTGGCTTGCCTGGATGCGAACATGTAATTTAATTGTGGCATGTATGTCAAAATGTCTCCAAGCTGGACCAGAGGAACGATTTCATTTGGTTTGCACTTATTGTTTTCACGCAGGACATGATGCTGCAACCTGGAAGCATCAAAGCATAGCATCGTTAAGAAAGAATAAATTTGAATGAAATTACTGAATAAAGGGGCCCAGCTCAGAAAACCATAGAATTTGGTGCTCACTAATTTTGAATGAATTAATGTAATGTAATTAAATGGGTTAAATGTTATTTAATTTGATCTTAACAACTGCCTCGGCTCGTTTAGCTTAAAAGAAATATCAAATGTTCCATTGCTCATTTTCATAGAGACAGGGCTAAAAAATTAATAATTAATGTTCCAGCGTGAATGGCTTCAATTTTCTCACAGCGTGCAGGCCAGAAAGACAGGCAAAAACCTTTCATCACATCAACTGCTACAGACTAAAAAGCTCCGCATATCCAACACAGCAGCAGTGCCCTGTCCTCATAAGACAACTTTTGGATAAATGCCAAAAAATTCACTTTTCCACCCCACTGGTATCAAAATTGGCACACAGAAAGTTTGATTTTAAAGGTTAAATTATTTCAGTTAGGTAATACAAATTATACTATCACATAATAACGAAATTCGGCTGGTTCCAAATTTCTTGGTTATCTGAGCTGAGCCCTTAAACAGCAACTTTGCGACAGACATAAATACACTTTGAACCGACATGCTGAGTTGATTACATCAACTTCTTTCCAAAAAGTGGTGAGATATGGGAATCAATATTTTCATAAAACTTGATTTTTTCCGATAAAAGTTTTTTCAGCAGGACACTCAAATAAGATTTACATTTCTAAAAACAGCTGATGCTTGAGGTGATAAAGCTTTTAGGGCTGTTCTTTTATGTGTTCGATTAAACTCCGGATCTTATGGAGGAATATCTGTACTTTTTTTCAGAGCTATCAGACTGCCTCCAAAACTGTACTTAGGGCCCATTTTATTTTCTGACTAATATGCAAGAACCTTCTCATCTTTTACTCAATAGCAGTCAAGTGTGGTGTGGTTAGGAAGTTTTGGCACCCCTGCCTGGAGGTTTAAGATCTGTAAACTCAGAGGCACAATTGCTCATTTGTTCACACGTGATTTAAAGGTTTCATCTCTTTCAGCAGAGAATTCAAGATTTTTATGAAAATATTATTTCAAGGGTATTTCTTCCACGTAGAGGAAATTATTTTGAAAAAATTCAAAGAGGGTTTTTAAGTTTTTATAAATACTGAGAGGATTGTTTAAATAAACTTGAGCAGTGCAAGATGGATTAAACAAGAGGTTAACACTTACGCATTTCCTCTGAAGAGATTCACTTTCAGCACATCTTGCAGTACTTCACGGAGTTTGTTGACTGGTACACTAGGAAAAAATGCAGCTATTAGATCTTGCAGAGTGATCAACTGCTCATCGGAGACATACGGCTTGGCATTGATTGCTTGCACCATCTGTCCATTGACGTAGACTTTTTGTAACTGAAAACCAAGATATAATTATTATTCCACTTTGCAGAGCAAAAGAGTAAAAAATAATTAAATAAATAAATGTATGCATTATCATCAAATATTACAAGGAAACGAAGATCATTGAGAATAGGATGCAGGAGTTCAGGAAGACAGAAACTTTTTGGTTGTGCGACAGATTGGTTTTGGGCAAAAAAGGGAAGGCCAAACCATAAATATTGCCTGCTTTTTGGGAAACCGGACGATTTGAAGAATAAAGAAAACAAAACAAAAAAAAAAATTGCAACTTCAAATGAGGGTTGAACCTTAAAAATGAAACCTTCTTGAGGCAAAGAAGCCTCCTTAAAGAAAAAAAAGTTCTTAAAATGAGAAAACAAATTTGAAAACTACAGGAAGGCTGGAATATTTCTTCATATCTGAAAGTTCTATAATAATTTCAAAATAAAAAATAATAAAAATTATGAAAGTCTAAGGTTACTTGAAATTAGATAAAATTTAAAATAAGAAGTTGCAGATAAATCTTCATCCTAAAAGAAACAGGCAGAAAAATAAAGAGACATAGCACACTGCTCAAATCTCCTCAGCTCAAACACTGATAAGGAACGGATGAACATTTTCATTTAATAAATGAAAATAACATTCTAACATCATTATGACTCAATAAATGCCTCTGAAATTTTTTTAATGGGCGGGTCGCTGGATCCTGCAAACATAAAATTGCTTGTTTCTTGATACCATTTTCAGCTAAGCCATTGGATTTAGGCAGATGCCTGTTTCTTTCCATTCAAGCAGACAAAGTGATTGCTGTTACTTTTGAGTATACATTGCAAAATAAATTTCTGAAAAGGTACACATCAAAACTTTAAATTTTTCGCTAGTGGATCCCTTCAAAAGATCGATGATGAATAGCTTAGAATTTAGTACCAACAGTATGTTTGTTGATGGCATGGAGTTCATAAATGACATGTATTACAGGATATTCATTAGGCTACAAATTTCATGATCATGGTCTGACTGAAGTGATTTTGCTGGTGAATGGGAATCAGTTTTGAGTTCCCCTGGTGAGAGCGAGTAAAATGATACATAGGTGAGCTCGCTCTAAAAATTCAACAAATTTGTCACTAGTTTTTACCCTTCAAGAATAATTTCTTTTCTAGAGGTCACTAATGACCACCATGGCATAGTGGCATGTTTTTAAAAAAAACACCACGAGTGGTTTTTCTAAAAACTGATCAATGATGTCAGCTGCTTACAGCTGGGTGAAAAGCTAATAACATATCATCAGCAGCTATCCTAATCAGTAATAACTTAGGTTCATCGAAAGGGCAAGTTTGATAGTTTGGGACATAAACATTAAACTAGTAGGCACCTTTCAAAGAGCTCTCCTTTTTCAGCTATTCAATTACGCAATTGGCATTTGCATCAAAATATGTTATTTCTGACCTTCTCCATGTCAAAGCCATAACTAAAAGCATATGTGAACCAAGTGGAATTTAAGTTTTCGTATTTGAAAATAAATTATGAAAAATACCTTGTACGGGAAATGCGAGTTGTTTTCTTGTTGAAATTCGCTGATTGGTATCAGTTTTTTGTATTGATTTGAGTCTGATACCCTATTCGCTATATGGCCATTTCCTGTGGCAGCTCCATTTGCTTTACTGTAGACATTCCTCTGGGCTGGCAGTGGGCTCTGTTGCGGTGACGAAAGATCTATTATCTCAGGATTTGTTCTTACATTTGGGTTAGGGTGATTAGCAAATCGTTGACTGCTCATGTTGGTACCACCGCCTCCACTCGGCTGAGCCGCACCATTTACAGGTATTAGAGGAGGGGGATACTTGGCATTAGACACTAACTGGCTAGCATTAGCATTTGCTACTGACTTTGGAATACCTTGCATAGCATACTGCATGGCATATTGTTGATTACTAGTCACATACGTGGCATTCCTGGACAGAAAAAAAAGGGGTGTTAAACAAATTGACATTTAAAAGACCAATATAGAATTTTAGAAGCCTCAATTTGTGTCTGCATTTGAAGAATTTTGAACTGTTTAGAACAGATAACTTCCCTTATTAAATGAAAAAATATTTGTCATAATTCTTGAAAAGCTCCAAGATTTTTCCTCTCTGAGTAGAGAGTAGTTAGTATTGCTTTTGAGCAATGATGTTGGCACACTTTTCAAAAGAGATTTAAAAAAAAGCAGAGATTTTCAGACAAAACAGTAGGGATGCTTCCTTTTCTCAAGTCCATACCAAATAAGTTAAGGCATTTTAGAGTAAGCCTGAGGATCATAAATATATTAAGTTGCTCCTACAACGCACTCTGGCATCCTGCAACACTCAAACGCCATATATGCCTATTCTCCCAGAGGTTATCGGGCAACTGACACCGCAACATCTCTTCGTCAACACCCTGCTGTCATCCCTTTACGGGACGTCCCTGTCACCTCTTCCTAGGTGAAACCCAATCCAAAATTTGTTTGGGCAACCTCTCCTCTGATATTCTTTGCACACGCCCATACCAGCACAACTGCCTGGACATGATGTCGTGCATGATTTCTTTTTCTACCTTCATCACTTGGCGAATTCTTTCATTACGGATACAGTCCTGTCTCGAAATGCTGGCAGATCGCCGCCAAAAATCCATTTCCGTTGCCTTCAACATTTCTTGCGTTTTTTTCATCAAAGGCTACACATCCATTGCAGTTGCCCTCAACATTTCTTGCGTTTTTTTCATCAAAGGCTACAGTTCACTACCTTAGAGCACGATACTTTTGACGGAGGCGTCATATATCCGGTGCTTGTTTGCCTTCAAAATGCTCTGATTATGAGGATCATTTGTCCTTAAAATTCATGGTGCAAATTATGCAATTCAAATAAAAACTTGTCCAAGCGAAAACTTCTTACTTTGAGTTATTACATCACTTTCTTACAGTCTGGGCAGGATAAGCAAACGTTAGAGGAGGCAGCTCCAGAAATAGATAAAAAGTTAAACAATTTATTGAAGAGATTAAAGGTATTAATGAGCAGGAATTAAGAAAAAGCCAAAAATTGACTGTAATGGAAGCATTGGAAGATTAGTACCAGCGAATCAAAAAACTTACCCAGAAACAGTTGAACCAACAACTCTCGTCAGAGTGGGATTTGCTGCTTGTTGATGAGATAACTGTAAACAAGAGAAACAACAATCATTAAGAATTACTTCTTGCAAAAGAAGAAAAGTGAATTGTTTTTCACTTACACACTACTCCATTAGCTTTCACAAACTCAAGTGGATCACTGAGAAAATTTTTCTTCGCTGTGGTTATGTTTTTCTTTGAAACAGATTTGGAATTTACTGAAATTTGTTTTCTTTTCCAGCAACAGGAACGCTGGTATCCTCACAAAAATTTGCAGTGTAACTACAATTTTTGTCAGAACAATATTTTCTATCACTTTCATGAGATGTGTCCTAAAAACTTGCACCCAACTTGGAAAAGAAATGTTTCAAAAAAGTTAAAACCTAATGAAACTACAGCAAAGGGGAACATGCCGTATGATTCACCTAATTAAGTTTCCAATTTCAAAGGAGGACTAAGAGTTTTCTTCAGCAGCCCATTGAAGGATTAGGTGTACAAGAAGTATTGCGTTGTACAATTTTCTTTGCAAAATTTATCACGCTCAATAAATATCTTTGCAAGAGCAATCCCAACATAGTTTCCAAGTCCCATTATCAAAACTAAATGTGCTCCACTGCCTTCATGTGCCTTCTGTTTGTTTTCTTCTCCCAAAATTCTCTACTTGTATTCCTGTACGCTTGCTGGATCATCATTCAATTTTTGTTCACAATATGAGGATAAAAAAGTCTTAAAATTAAAATATATTAAAGCCTGTAAAATATTGATTAAGGAAAAGAGCTACTTTAGTACACTGATTCCAACAAAAATTTCTTGTCCTTGACTACTGTCACAAGAAATGGCAAGATTGTGATCTAGCATGCACTCTGCAGCCCTGTGCAACACTAAAGAGTTCAGAAGTTAGAACTGCTACAATTGCTGGTATCGAAACAAGGCAGTTTCCTTCCCTTCCGTTTAAAACAAATTACATATTCCCTGATACAATTCTACACCAACTGGTCTAAAAATCATACCTTTCACATAAAATTACTCCAGTGAAAGAATTCGTTTTTTCTTCTTTCTTTCTTTATTTCTTATTATGACAAAAATTACTTTTCTGAGATCTTTATTGCTGAAAGAAATTTTAATAAAAGGAATGAATTGCTTATAAAGGTACTCTGCTTATGGCAGCAGTTCCTGCCATTCCCTTCTGTGTATAGTGAGAAAATGAGGAAGAATAGACGGAATATATTTTTAAAACAAACAAAGAACTTACATAATACTGATTAGCTTGATGAGTTCTGGCAGCAGGTCTGACTGGTGCTGTCACAAAATTTCTATCATTTGGTGTCACTACTGTGCCACCAATTTGCTGAAAGCAAAATAACAGAAAAAATTAAAATTGAAATTAGATTCAAGATTGTCTGAAAATATCAAATTAATTTAATTTTGGTATCTCCCTTTCTCAAAGCTGCTGAACAAAGAGAAATTATTCTACCAACTCTACACTAAGTCCAGACTTTAGATGAAGTAAAAGTTATTTTCACACTCAAAACCTTTATTCACCGGGCAGCAATTGATAAGTTCTTGGCGTTCAGTTCTACAAATTGTTGTTTACTTTGACAGAGTTGTCATTCCTTAGCCTGGATAGGGTGAAAATAAATGTTGCTGTCTTTTATGATCCTCATTTGCTGACCAATGGTGTTGATTCAACAAATTTACACATGTCTTACCCATTAACACAGGGTTGCCACTAAATCTAGAAAATGAAATTCCTCGACATTTCCCTGATTACTCCGGCACATTATGGTGAAATTTCCTGACAATTGAAGACACTCCATACGGTTAAAAAGACATAATTAGAAATAGTTTTCAGGCAAAATTAGTTGTTCAAAACGTCAAACCAATTCTAGAAAGGAATTAACAGTGGCTGGACAATTCTTCCCTGACTCTTTAAAATTCCCTGACATTTCCCCACAGTGAGTGACTGGACAATTTTTCCCTGACTCTTTAAAATTCCTTGACATTTCCCCGTTTTCTCAGCATTCCCTGACGGTGGCAACCCTGTCAACAGTATGACATTTTCAATGAAGGTATTTCCTTACAAGAAGCCAGAATGAACACTTACTTGATGTATTACCGGTTGAGCCATCCTTGTGACTTGAGCGGCTTGATAAGCAGGTGCAGCTGCTTGGGCATTCCACCCATTCATAGGAACTTGTTGACCAGAGGGCATTCTTTGCATCACAGAGGTAACAGCACTAGGTATTACAGGAACTCCTCCGGGCGGTGCTTTGATCCACGAAGAACCACTTCCCGCCATACTGTTTGGCCTTTGCGTGCTGACTATCAATTGTGAATCGACGACTTTAGTTGGCCAGTAGGCTTCAAATGTTGTTCCCGTTGGAAAATATGATTTTATATTTGTCAGACTAATCACAGAACACGTTTCACTGGCAAACAATTCATTCCGAATGCCTTGCACTTTGCAGCAAAATTTTAAATAGGCTAAATCCCAATTTTCTAATTTTTCAGACTTTAATTTTAGATTATCCGTTTCACCTTCGAAGTAAAAGAGGGGCACAAATTTTTGGTCATCTTTGACAGTAAAAGGAACAACCGACTCTCCATTTATCCGAATAAACCCGCACTTGTCTTTAACTGCTGAGTTTGGATTTTGTTTGTTTGTCAATTTATGATAACAAAAGTCTAGGAAAGTGTAAAATTCTTTAGCATCTTCATATTTAACAACTAAATCTTTCACAGTAAACATTTCTTTTCCATAATAGAAATCGCAATGCCTTTCATTTATTTCTCGAAGAAGTTTAGACTCAATTTCGGTCACATAATAACTAGGAATGCTCGTACAGCTATAAATATCTCTATGAAGATAGTTTAAGTAAACGTCTAACAATTTGGTTTCAACCATTTGCACAGCAATGTATTTTTCACCATTCCGGAGAATGTATGGTAGATCAGCTTTTCCTAGAGTCGTCCAACCAAACTGACCTGAAAAAATGAATCAATAACCATTTAGTCCACTGGCAGGAATTGTCTTTACATAACATTAAAAGTAATTATGAAAAGCGATGAATGATCTTCATAATTGGCAGCAATAAGCAAAATAGTGGTCAAGATGAAATGTTAGGACTGAACACAGAAAAATGAAACAGCATATCTTGAAAAAGAATTAAATAAACTGAATGGAAATTCTTGTGTAATTGAATTAATTTTGGAATTGGAAAGGAACCATAGGAAATACTTTTAACAGATGATGGCTGCAAAGATAGATCTCTTTTCATGTTCCCAACTGGTAACCAAGTCATTGGAATAAAATCATATGAATGAAATGCTACAGCATTATACTTGCATAGCCACTATTAATAAGAAGAATAAAAGAATAAAAATACATTAAAAAATCTAACAGGTCCAATTTCTGTTACATTCTTCCTTCTTGCAAACTTTTACACTTCATGGCAGTCATTTCAAAAACCTTTGAGACTTCAGTACCTAAAATTGAAAAAATAACGAGGAATGGACTTCGCACAAGAACAAATGATTAACAAAAGTAACTTCTGCTCACTTGCACAAGTCTAAATTCAGGGCAGCATGTTGCTGATGATGGCACAACAGGAGTCTCTGATGACAGTTGCTCGGCGCAGCCAAAACGCGTCCGCCGTGAATTTAAAACCATACAGAGACAAAGAGAAACTCTTCATTGCTATCTTGACAATAGTGGAAACTTTAGCTTTTGGAACTCCAACATTTCACTTCTGATTTTCATACTGGATGGATGTTGAACAACAAGTTGGGTATTTTGTTTCGCACAAAGTGGAAGTTTGGCAAACTTGTTTGGCTCATTTCATCAACCTAACCTCATCATCTACTAAGTAGGTACATCAACAGCCAGAAAAAGGGTGATGAGTGTTGCTCCCTTATGATTGTCCAAAAGAAAGTTTAAAATCCCCATTAGTTTCCACCTGTCGCCAAGAGGCTAGTGAAGGGTATCACTTTGTCTCTGCTACAAGAGAAAAAAATTTACTTCCTTGTTGCGTGAAATTGTGCACACCTTAAATTTTAAGTTGAAATAAAACTTGTATTCTGTTAAGATACCTTTTCTACTGCTTTCATCAATTGGAACATTTTCCGTCTTCTTCGCAGGCGTAACAGGAGCTTCTACAGCTGCAGTAGGCTGAGTCGCTGCCAACTTATTTTGGGGTGTGACTTTGGGAAAGTAACTAGCGATCCCCTGGCCATTGGCAAGGTTAGCAGCATTGGCAGCACGTGCATTTTGAGTAGCCTGCGCCTGCGCCATTTTAGCCTTATTAGCTTCAGATATCTTTGCTGCCAGTTCCCGGATCTCAGCCTCATCGGGAGGCTCTTGTTTGACACGGGCATTGTTACTGCTTGCACCTGAAAACAATCACAGAAAATGCAAAATTTAATTACTACTGTCAACTATACTTACTGTATAGGTCTTTCTTCCAAGTAAAAACAAGGTTCTTTTACTTGAGAGGGTGTTGACAACGTCAAATATACTTTGTCAAAATCTTCATAGATTTTTCAGTGAGTATCGATCTTGCGGACTAAGTACTTAGATAGCATGATCTAAGGTAAGACCCTTTTTTTTCGTAAAAGAATATGCAAGTAAGAAGTACAAGTGTTCATTGACAGAGTCTATTCACTCATAAAGTTTACGCTTAAGTAAAATGCATGTTTTGCAAGTTGCATGTTCATTTCCTTTAAATTATTCTATTGGTTTCCAACTTTTTTAGTGTTTGCGCAGTGTAAATTCCATTTCATTAAGTAAGTGAATTTAGCCCAATTCACACTATCAAACTTTCCATTCAACTCTTAAATGCAACTTGTCTAATGAAAAGTTGGATAGTGTGATACTGACGAGAGAAAACAACAGTTTGATGAAAATTTGAAGGGAAACTTGAATGTGACGTCACATTCAACTTTTTGTTCAACTTTCCATCCAGCTGTCTACCAATTTGATGGAAAGTCGAGCGCAAAAAATGAAACGAAATCTTCCAACCGACGTCAGGCTAAGGCTGATATAAATACCCGAATGCTGATGTCCAGAACCAGAAATCTGGCAGTTGTCGGCTTTGCCTTTGCTTATGACGATATCACACTGCAACGGTACTTGAATCAAATTTTTTTGCGTCCAACTATCCATCCAACTTTTCGTTCAATTAAGTAAGTCTGATGAAAAGTTTGATAGTGCGAACTCAGTTTTGTAAAAAATGTAATATAAAGTACCACCTATAGTGTTTAATGGGAAACTATGCAGGTGTAAGTTTTCAGAAAACATAATATACGTAACACAAGTTCTAAAAATTCACATCCCAGAGGTCTGTGTCAGTGTGAGGTGTGTGTTGTCGGCCTCCTAAGGTGTAGGGGTTACTTATAGCGCTACCTCTATGATCAGGAGGTCCCAGGTTCAATTCCCGGCCAGGCGACCCAAGTTTGATGGTTCCAAACAATGGTTGTCTGGGACTGGTTTAAGGGACGGAAGGGGGATGGGACTCAGGCGCAAGGATTAGCCCTTGCGGGCTACTTGAAGTAGTAAAATAAAAAAAAAAGAGGTGGAAACTAAAAATTAAGTTAATCAGGAGACATTCTCCAACGCTGCGATTCAATTTTTAGAATCATTGCCTGAATACGGGCACATTAGGATGACATTGCTGGTCTCAGCATAAACCGTTACCACTACTCCAACTCGGAGTCAATTTCTGTACTACTGAAATGAGATGACACTCAGAACTGGGGAAAGAAAGGAGAAGACAAATATCACATCAACCTAAATACTACAATCATCAGTTGGCCTCTTGGCTGACACACAAGTTTGTGCTAAATGGTGCTATTTTCTGAAGTGACATTGATCCATTCTTTTCTTACCCCTGTTCTAGGACTGGCGCTGAGGGTGTAACTTAAAAATACTAAGTGCTCTCATGAGCCTCCAGCATTTGGTAGAATTGGGAATATAACAGAGGCTCCAGAACCTTCAAAAACACCTTGCTTTCTCAGATTTAAACTGTCTCAGTTGTGAAAACACCTAGCTTCCATGTTTCAAACTTAAAATAAACTTGAGAAATTTCTAATCTAAGTAAGATGGAAAAAATCAGAAATCATACAGCTTCTCAATTGTTATCATTATTTTTTCATGAGAGGATTAAACATAAGGCTAAAAACAAATCAGACCTTCACATAAACAATGTCTGCTCATCACATTTAGATTTCTGCGTTCAATAACGAACTAGTGTAAGCGCATGGCACGACTTTCTCTCTCATGCTATAGATGGAAGTCCTCTTGCCTTAACATCAAAGGGTCAAAACTATGAACAAGTTCTTTCGATTAGGTAAGCCATTCTTGAAGTTTCTCTAAAAATGTGAATGATAGTGTGCTCAATTAAAAGAGAGACTGGCTTTGATCGAATATCAAAAAAATAAGTATGAAACTGGTAAGCTAATCAGGGCATTAGAGAAAAAAACCTTGTTTGCACTGATTACGTTTTGAGTTATTCTGTTTTGTTGACTATCTTTATCAAATGAGGGCCGAATTTAAGTTGTGGATTAGTATAAAGGATTAGGACTTAAACCAACTTGACATACATCGAAGTATTCAGGTAAAGTCAACTGACGATAAATACACAGCGGAACTGAATTTACAAGGCATGATTGAGGATCACTGATAAGATAACCACCTGGCAGGATTGTAATGTATAAATTCAGTGCGCTAAAAATAAAAAAGTGAATTGGGTAGACATGTAAATCCATGAAAATTAAGAAAATCTGAATGATCGGATCATCATGTTGGCTTAGAAAATTATCTAGAAATCGCGTTGTGATGAGGTATTGGGGCATGATGAAAACTGAAACTGAAAAGACTAGAAATAAATGTTATCGATATAAAAAAACTAATTCACTTAAATAAGACGAAAATTGAGCGAAAATGAATTACCTTCTAGAGTATCACTAGCGGCAATGAAGGGGCTAATATTCTGCATGGCCATAATAATCCACTCTTATCGGAAAACATGTATCATAATTCACTGAAAATAATCACAACAGGATCTTCATTATATTTTGATAAATAATTCGACGCCAAATACTAAATTTACACACTAAATCACTGCGACACAGCAACACATTTCACTCCCGACAAAATTCTAGTGAGTGTCCCTTAAATCTCATGGAAGTGGAATACAGGGAAACAACATTCTGGTCCTAGCAATCCTAGCCTCGCGATAATCCCATGTTCATCGGACCTCTTTCCCTTAACTCATGATTCACTCAGGCATAATTTGGTACATTAGGGACCAAGCAACCAATCAGAACCCTTCTGCGCATTACAAACAAAAAACTGTCATTCATTATCATTCATGACGTCACCATCTTGAGCGCCTGGGTACGAGGCTAGAACTCGAGTTTCCAAGGTCTTTTGGTACAGTCACACCAAATTCGTTTCGACCTTTTTACCATGGTACACAACTTTAATGCCAACGATTTTCTCAGGCACAAGGCACTGTGCATCAATAAAAATTACCATTTTTATACTTCGCTGTTGCTCCTGCTTAATTTTAGTCCCTTTTAGTGGCGTAAATAGTGTGCGAAAATAGTGAAACTCCGAGCATGCGGCGCGCTCTCTTGGAGCTGACTGTACTTTTTCTATTCATAGCCTTATAGGCGACGTGGGAAGGAGAGGGAGGGGGAACACTTTCATAACCTCAGCATTCTGCCCCCACTCCGCCCAACAAACTTGTAGGAACCTGTTCTCGCCGCGTCAATGGTATTATTGTGTTAGGGTTCGTTTCCCAACGCCGCCATTATTGTTGCCTGAACCCAACCGCCTACCATTGTAATCCCGCCTCAGGCAAGGCGCATCCGCAACGTACGCTGCGCTTCGCGGTCGGTTCACGCCCGCATCGTCTCTTGCGGCGGAGGTCACGTACCGACGATCCCCCCTCAACCCATTAACCTTTTTAGGCGGAGCCATTAATCGTGCCTAACCCTCGGTTAAATTATAGGCTTCCCGCCTTTTTCTTCGCTGCTGCACTTCTTACGCATAATGGCGTCAGCTCTTAAATTTTCCACGGCCCCGGAGGAGGGGGGCCTCACCAATTTATTATCCACCATAGTTTCACGTTTCAAAGGACCCATTTTTAACTGCGCTTTATTGGGGTGTGGAGTTTGAACGCTCTCATGATCGTTTTTTTTAAGCCGTGCGTTTTTTAGTAACCCTGCAGCCCAGACTGAACAGTTTTAACGTTGCTCTGACCAGGCGGAGGGTGTGGTGCCTAACGCGTAACGCCCGTTTTAAACCCTCCCCTCGTCCCTTTGTCACGGACCGCATTGCAGTGCGCACACCATTCCTTCCCTCCTTGCGTGCGTTACGTAATTAATAAAGGTTTCCCGGTTGCATAAGCTGCCCTTTCCCACTGTTTTTCCTCCCCTCCACAATTAAATCTTCCTCACTCCTCTTATATTCTCTTTCATATTTTTTTCCCTTCCACGTTCTACGACGTCTCTTCGCTGTCGAAGAAAGAGAAAATATGTTCCGTGCGAGAAAATATTTTTACTTCGGTCGCCTGCAGGTACCCGTGCTGATACACGCGTCTCGCTCGCTCATGCTCTTTCTACAAACAAGTAAACTGTTTTCTTTTCCGTTCCTCTCCTATCGCTTATCATATGAATGTGATACCCTGATTCCGTCGCAGAAATCAAAGAACCTGGCTGATTATCGTTTTGATAAGACTTCCTTCCATAGCATTCTTTCAGATAAGTCGAACCAACGAGAAGTCCTCTTCTGCCTCCTGTACCTGAACTTCCCCTCTTTTCTATTTCTTCATGTGAACTTCTTTATGTACCCCTCCACAAGTGCATCTTAAGGCGGGGGAGGGGGGCGGCTATTCCTGATCCGGATTTGAGTATGTATATATTACGCGAGTTTTCTGGTTCTCATAAAAAATGTAAACATGAAAAATGTAAAATATAAAGTAAAATACAAAAGTAGAGGGAAAAGAAATTTAATAAAATTTCTTGAACACGAAAAAGGATGGGGAGGTGTAGGTAATGAGAGAGTTAAAGAAAACACCTTTAATGGACATTTCCTTCTATACAGGTTGAAACCTTTTATATGGTAGTAAACGTAATATTTTTAGAGGC